TTATATTAGTTGTGTTTAAGTTCGAGGGGAGCCAGTTTTCTTAAATATGACAGTTATGAGAGACCAGAGTGGTGTGGCACCACCCATAGTGACCGGTTTGTCTGTCTGACAACGATGTCAACGCCCCTCAGTGGTGATGAATGAGAAGTTATTCACTTAAAGGTAAGAATAATACAATTATGATCTAAACCTGGCTAAAGACCATTGTGATGATTACATCTAGGGGGCACCTGGCATTGTATTGTATTCTTTGTATTCCATGTATGTTTTGATTATTTATTTGATAAATAGTTTTTTGGTAATTGATTATTATTATGTTATAAGTACATGCCTATGTAGAGGTGTTGAAACTATTTTATAAAGGCCAGGGTAAAGGATGAGATTATAGACAAACTTACTTTTTCACAGGAGACTGAAGTTCCGGCCACAATGATTAACAATTGCATTTTCATTAACTTAAGTAGTTGACTATGCATGTGTACCTTTAAAGAGCTTAGCATGTAGCATTCCGCTGCTTCTAATTCCATGTGGTTTTGCTGGTGGGAAGGTAATGCAAGTGGTCTCTGGGGAACGTAGTATCTCCGAGGAGATAAAAGAATTGTTAAAACGGAACTTCATGCCAGCTGTAATTGTTGTTTATAGAAAAGGCCAAATTTCGCCCCAATTGTCTCATTTGCTTTTTCAGGTCATAAAGAGGCAGCAATATTAAAATGAGACTGTTTCATAACCAGGTACAAACTCCTTATACAGGCTTTAAAGACTGGTTTAAAATGTTCATGTGCATCAGTGTCTTAAATTCCACATTGTCTGCAGCTTTGACCACCATATCCACACGTATTTACTCTGCCATGCACAGTAGCACTGTCATGTTTTCAATGCTATAATAATTTATAACAAGTCACCTGTAAGGGCAATTTATGCCCTTATGCCCCTTGTGTTTGAAAAACAATGATCATTAGTTACAAAGGATGTTGGCAAATTTAATGTTTCTTTATACGTTTGTTGATCTGGTGGTCCATCTGAAAATAATATCGTTATTAATTAGATATTAAAGCTCAAGTGTGGTATATTTAGGGGCGTGTCTGTTTGATTGACACAGAAACTCACGATTGATTGACAGGCAGTAGGAAAACACTGGAGCTTTATTTACATCGTGTTCACTCAGTTGTGTTATATTTATCCTTTTTCTGTCATTATTTGTCGGTGGAGAAGGTTTTTTATGCCAGCAGGTTTAGAAGAAGAAGATACACTTTTATTGTCACGTTTAACACTTTTTACATGTATACATGAAATTGTTCTCCGCATTTAACCCATCCAGTTGGCACCTGGATGAAACACACATTGACAGATGCCATGTACACACATATACTGGAGCGGTGGGCTGCTGCTGCCAACGCCTGGGGAGCAGATGTTGGGGGGGGCAGTGCCTTGCTCAAGCCAACCTTCTGGTTATTGGACGACCTGCTCTAACGCTGAGCCACGGACGCCCTATGCGTTACTGTTAGTTTGTTTGGATTTGTTAATGTTCACCGCGATGATGACTCTTCGATAACAACAGAGGAGCTGATATCCAGTTGCTTTGGTGAGTAAACTTTCCCTAACGTTTTACAGTTTTTATCTTCAGTTTTTATCTATCAGTTAGCTAGTTAGCCATTGTGGAAGATTTAGGTGAAAGGAAACTATTGATAGAAATTTAACATAGAATAATCCTCATGATGTTTTCACTAGTTTGTTTCATCTAAATTGTATCAATTGTAGTTGTCTTTTCCCTAGAAAACTCCCTTTATATTTAAATACTTAAATATTTACTTTCGAGGGGGTTCTCTCTCCAGAGGCCACCATCTTTTTTACAGTCGTCCAGACTAGACAAACTAAACACCTTTTTAGTTTTTATGACAACTGAAGCTACCACAGGTTCTTTTTCATGTTTGGAAGAGGAGGGTGAGATAAGGGGTGTTCAGCTGCAACATGCAATTTCAACACTAGATATCACTAAATTCTACACACTGTAACTTTTAGATGACGATGTCTTTTTTTGCTTCTGCCAAATGTGACTCTGTATAAAGGATTTGAGCTGCATTAATTTGAGTTATTAAAACATCTTTATAGTTCTACCCCAATCTGATTTATGTGCCTGATTGTTATCTGATTGTTATCTTCTAATATATTAATAGATTTTCTGTATGACTATGCTCTCATGCCTTTGTGTGTTTTCTATTTGGAATCAATCCACCAGAGGCTGACAGGCTAAAGAAATGGTTGATGATGACATGAAAAATTCATCCATCGCATCCCATCTGTGCAGTTCACACTAAGGGGATCAGTCCTTAAGTGATTGTCTTTTACTTTAATTTCAAAGGTGTCCACAATGAAAACTGAATGGCTGGTGTCAACAGAAGGAAGACCTTATGTATGAAGCAAGTGTGGTGCCATTCGTCAGGATGCTAAGGATAGAGACCGGATAACAACATCCTTAATTCTTTAAGGAGATGTGATGATGATGATGTCAGTAAACCACCACAACATAACTTTGTATGTCATTCTCTGCATCCACAGGTTCAGTTTCTTGCCTTTGACTTAATTTTCTTCTGTTTTTAACACTTTGTAGCCATATTTTACTAATTTAAAGGAGAAGTTCGTTTTTTTTCCAATCTGGTCCTTATTTCCAGCATATGGTATGTAGATCTACTCACCCATAAAGGTTTGGAGTAACTTGGAGTCCTTCGGACGCTTTTAGATCCACACGCGATCGGCGTATATCCATACAACGCAAGTGATTGGGGCATCCACAATACAGCCTCTAAATAACGCATTATCTGCCACGAAACTCTTTATTTACTATGAATCGCGAGCACTAGTCCCCTGTGAGTCCAACTTGCTTTGTTTAGATCCCGGGCTTTCACTGGGGTGACGTCACCGAGGCACGCAGGTGCAGCACAGCTGACGATCACCTGTGTTTGTTTACACAGAGTTTGCTGCTGCTAGTTTTGTGCAACATGGCAGAATACTTATCACTTATTTAGAGGCTGTATTGTGGATGCCCCAATCACTTGCTTGTATGGATATACGCCGATCGTGTGTGGATCTAAAAGCGTCTGAAGGACTCAAAGTTACTCCAAACCTTTATGGGTGAGTAGATCTACATACCATATGCTGGAAATAAGGACAAGGTTGAAAAAAACCGAACTTCTCCTTTAACTGTGTGTTTAACACATGAGCCTAATATTAAACAGTACTGAGAACATTTTCCATTGACTTGCTTGGTTTTTGCACTTTTACCTTTTTCCTTACAATAACACTTTGTTTTCATTGTCTAAAATGTGATATGTCATAAGGATGAGGGAAGTATAAAATATAATCTTTAATTGTCAATGATTGATTTGATTAAAACAATTTAATTAAAACTACAATGTAAAAGGTATGTAATTAATGCCAAATTCGGAAATGCCCATCAGAGTGTTCTTGTATGATAACAATACTGTGCATGCTATTGTTACTTTATACTAGATGTGTTCCTTAAAATCATAAGTAAAAGAGAGTTTCATATCAATAAGTGATCGATTTGGCCTGGGACAAACGTGATTACTTTAAGTGGTTTCTAGTGTACTGGAATTTTGTCGCGACATGGCACAAAATTTGAAGGAGGCGCCTGCTTTGCAAATTCTCCCTGCAGGAAAAACCCTCATCTGACTTTTTTTGGTTATACAGTGAGAGTAAAGTACCCAAAAAAAAGTACAGATAGGTACAGGTACCAGTATTGGTTCAAATGTGAACGGTACCCCTAGTGGGTGATTCTTCTTCTCTGGTAGCCCACCTCCCACTATTCTTCTATAGGGCCACCTTATCTCAGTTCGTAGAACAACAGCCTTGCAGCCTGGAGGGCCAGGGTTTCAGACCTAATTAATGTGGTTAGCAACAGAAGCAGGCTCATGCCTCCTCTAAGGCTCCAGCCATGTAAAGGGGCCTTCTCCCCGAACCTTCTTGAATGGGTGTGCGTACAGGTGTATCATCGCAGGGCACAATAATGCCTGCTTTTAACAGCGCTTCAAACGTTGCTGTTATTCCATCGATGGCTTCTAGTTCAAGTGGGTATTTTTTAAGGCACGGCCTACATTCAGATTTAGGATGTACTACCAAGGGTGTCGCCTTGTCATGAGTCCATCATATTTATGAGTGGCCCACAATGAAGCTGGCACCTGAGATAGCTCAGTGATTTGATCCACTGCTGAGAGTGGAAAACAGATCTGTGTGTATGCTCCTCTATGAGCTCAATTGACCGTTGTACCAATAATGTTCTCATTACTGCAGTCCTATGTAAATTACAACTAGCACGATACTCAGTCGTGGGATCCCCTGCAGCCGGTCCAAACTCCAGAAGGCTGAGACAATGCTGCAGCCACCAGGCCAGGTCAGGATCCCTCAATCACAATCTGTTATCTTAGCAGTTTTGAGTGCATTAAATGCTCTTAATTTCTGTCTTTCCCTTTTTCTGCCGCATATTTCCACATTTTTAAATGCCTTCTAGTGCGCTTTAAACATTACATTCCCTTTCTGCCTCCACCTGGAGAGAGCTGAATGCTGGACTGCACTACTCACTTCTAATCTCCTCAGCTGTGACTTCAGTTGTTTAAGATGACTCTCACTCAGACTCCCTCTGGCAGGAAACTAGTCTTGCATCTGATTCAAACTGCCAGGATAGTGCTCCAACATAAGTTTACACAGTGGTGACAGGACCCCGTATCTGCATTTCTCTCCACTTTACTGTAACCGTTGCTCATCTCTAGTTATCTGTACTCAGTTAACTGCCACAATCCACTCGATGCATACGAACCCTGACAATACTACCACCATAACTATGACAAGTCAACAACCCAGATTTGTCCCACACACAGTAGGACAAAACTCATGCTACACCGCACCTGATATTGCTACATGCAACACTACTAGAAGACATGACAAAAAAGATCTTTCTGGTTGTGAGGAATTTCCTTTACCATTAATCTTTACTGTGACTTTCATCTGGAATTTCCTCACCGTGTGCTTTCGCATTGCAGTCCACTTAGATTGGATCGGCAATCCGTTCTCCGCTGGATGACAGCTTCTCACCCTTGAGGAGGAATTTACCTATTGTATCTCTTTTCTGTCTGTCCAAAAGAGTCCAGATCACATGTCCAATCCCATCCTCGTCACCAAGTTTGTGGTGGGAATTTGCATTTAATTCCCCAGTGAGGAAATAAACAATTGCTCTGAATAGTTGTCATCAAAGCATTTAAAGGTTCAGTGTGTAGAATTTAGCGACATCTATAGGTGAAGTTTCATATTGCAGCTGAACAGTCCTCATCTCGCCCTCCCCTTCCCAACATGAAAGAGAACCTGTGGTGAACTTCAGTTGTCATGAAAAAGAGGTTTTAGTTTGTCCAGTTTGGAAAACATTTTTAAAAAATGGCGGCCTCCACAGAGAGGGTCCCCTCCATGTAAATATAAAGTTTTTAAATATAAAGGGCCCATTCTAGGGTAAAGAAAACAACAATTCACACAATTTAGATGAAACACACCAATAAAAACATCATGAGGATTATATTATATGCAATTTCTGCCAAAAATCCCTTTCACCTAAATCTTACACAGTGGACCTTTTAAAACTGATAAAAGCAGAATTACAGAGTATATTGAACACAAAAAAAAGTATTACTATTTGGCCAAATAGGGACAGAGTTCTTAAAGCCATGGCAGGCTCAAGAATCTGACAAATGTCTCTTCTGACAAGCTGGCTTTTATACACAAAGCTAGGAACACCCAGCTGTCCTTAGTCACGTCACCATCGATCCATGATCACACATCCCGCAAACTGCTGCATGGACAAAAAGGTGGACATTAATCTCTCTTTACTAAATGTAGTATTTGTATATTTGATCAAACAGTTTACTGGTTTATCCAACTCACAGATCACAAACATTCCCCGGTATTATACCCAAGCAATCATTCCTTGTAGAGCTTTATTCTGACTCAGGCTATTTTAACTGACCTCACTGAGAGTATTCATGCCAAACATTCATGCCAATAATAATAAAATCATAATCATATATTTAAAACTGCAACAAGTTGATGCTCCTCTTGACACTCTTGAGCTGCTTTCAGACATGCATTGGACGCCGCATATCCTCCGTATGTTCTCTGGAGGAGATGCATGTGTGAACAAAAATGTCTCAATGAGGCTTTCCACTGCTTCTTATCTGCCTGACTTGCTCAAAATGTTTTTCACAAATGCGAATACACGCACACACACTCTGTGTCTCTTTAGAAACGATAAAATCACAGTTAAAAACAAAAGATGTGACAGACACATTGCTTTAATTCTACCTCAGTAGGTCTATCCACAATTAAAACATTCATAACTTGGTGAATTTTCCAAAAATTTCAAACCGTTTCTTACGAATGTTGGATGTGTATTTTTGTTACAGAATTGTTGTCATCCTAGGTGCTCACACCAAGGACTAATACAAAAAGATATCTGCCTCATCTGTCCCCCTCTTCTTTGTTCTTTAGTTCTTTCTCAGGATTCCTTCGACCTGGCTGATGCTCTGGATGGTGACGATGACAGTAAATCATGTAAGTACAATGGAACACCTCACTCTTGATAGAAGTCATGACACTCTTAGGTTGGCCATGTAACTTTTCTCAAACAAAGTGAGCTCAGTGTAGTTACAAAAAAAAAAAACACACACAGGTGAACTTTCACAAAGGAGCTCTCAGGAGTGTGTTTGATTGGCAGTTTGAGTCCTCGCATTCTGTATGATCTCAATTCACAAAGAAAAGAAAATTAGTTTTAGAAAGAACAATTGATGTAAAAGCACACATTTGGCGCCTCTGATATGACGGTAAAGGAGGATAAGGAATTAGAAAATAAAGACTGAACATTTACTTTGTTTTACACAAACACGATTGCGTACCGTCTTGCTAACATATCAGTAAAATGAATATTAAATGATGAATGAAATAGAAGCATTTGTCATTGTGTGGTTAAGCTAGTCCGCCTCAGACCCTACATATCAAAAAACTAATTTATCCCAGTCCACGTTCATATTCAGTCCATCAGTGCATTTTTTTTAATTCTCTGATCTGAAAACTCTCCTACCTCAATTTGTTTCTATTTATTTTATACAAAATTAACATTTAGTAGGAAAACAGGAAACTCTTGAAACATGTGTCATCTGTAACATTAAGTCTATATTCATTCGTATAAGTTACTTTATCATTATGTGCTTCTCAAATCAGTCCACACTCTGTTACTGTTACTGGTAGTTGATTTTAGGAAACCTAATATTCACGTAAAAAAGACACCAGATAAAATAATATCTTTAAGACATAATTCATTTCTCACTTTCACCACAGTGACCCCTGCACCAAAACCAGCTAAACCTGCAGGAGGAGGTAAGCAGCACACAGGACCTGTTGACAATGCCATCTTCTCTCCCCTATTTTCCACCCATCTCCCCTCTCCTCCCCATTTTAATCTGTTCACCCCAACCGGTCGAGGCAGATGACCGCCCACATTGAGCCTGGTTCTGCTAGAGGTTTCTCCCTGTTAATGAGGGAGTTTTTCGTCCACAGTCGCCAAAGTACTGCTCATTGTGGGAACTGTTGGGTTTCTCTATATTAAAAAAGATTTTAAGGTCTTGACCTTCTGTATAAAGTGCCTTGAGATAATAATGTATATTATGATTTGGCGCTATACAAATAAAATTGAATTGAATTAGATTTATGTTTTACAATAATTCTATACCAATAATCATAATGATATAATACAATATAAGCCTACCATTTTCCATCTCACTGTTAACCGAAGGTAGACATGAGACAGTACCAGACAACTGGTCTTCTAATAAAAGCTGTCTACCGTTTTGGATTCTGCCACCTAACCAGTCTGTTACTATTAAACAATTAATGCTTTGTGTTGATTTGACACTTTTCATCTGCTACATTGTCCTGAATTTTGAATTTTTTACCCCAGCTATGATTTCTAGTCAAATCTACATGTGCTTAACATTTTACAGTGTCATAAAGAGAGTTGGTTGACAGTCTAAATATTTATATTATTCTCTGGTGTCATTGTTGCAGACTTTGATCTGGAAGTCAGTGGCACCACCACCACCACCACCAAAGCCCCACCCAGGGTTATACCTAAGGGTACAACAAGTCCCAAGGCCCCAGTCAAGCCTAAACCCAAGCCAGGTGAGTGGGAACCGCTCACCCCACCCAGTTGAGGCAGATGGCCACCCACATTGAGTGAAATTGTGCTGGAGGTTTCTCCCCATTAAGGGGGAGTTTCTTCTCTTCGCAGTCACTAATGCTTGCTTGCCGTGGGAACTGTTCAGTCTCTTTATGACATTTTAAGTACTGTGATTTGAAATAATGTATGTTGTGATTTGACTATACAAATAAAATGTAATTGAATAGAAATATAATACACCTTACATGTTAGTTACTATGTAAATTTAAGGATACAACTTCAAATCAGAGCATGTATAAGTGATTCCTTTAGTAACTGACACTGTGGTGAATAGGTAGTAAAATGTTTTGAATTTTTTGACAATGTTCACACTGCAAGCATTTCAGACTTTTTTATATAGTGGTTCACATTATCTTGAAGAATTTGGCCATTATCAGAGTTAGAATGTGAACTAGTCATGGCCCTGACGTGACTTGCTTGCACAGAAGAACAACAAGACGTCACAAGGAGAAGAAGTCGGTAATAAACATGGAGGCCATAGATGTTAGCGTTAATGGGTTACATGGCTGTTCAGACTGAGGTTGCATTTCAAAAACTGTGATCTGTATCTGATTTAAAACTAAATATGAAAGTTGCCCAAATCAGATTTAAAAAGATCAGATTCAGTGTGATTTATGCTGTTCACACTGTCATTGAACAATCAGATCCGGGTCAAATAGGGGGAAAATCTGATTTGGGCCACTTGGGCCTGCTGTTTGAACGTAGCATTAATCTCCTGATTTTGCCTTTATTAAACAATAACATTGATCTTTGACTGACCTTCACAGCTAATGATGACCTAAACCTTGCTGATGCCTTGAACCCCAACAATGACATTGATGGCAAGGAAAAAAACAAAGGACAGGGAGGTGGGTGGGAGTCTTTTTCTTTTTGGCCACATTCTTGTTCTGGATTTCTTACATGCCACGCAAGCCTCTGTTCAACTTCTCCAACTTTTCATAAATTTATCAAAGATATTTCTTCTAGTTTCAAGACAACTTTAAGGGTTTACCTTTGTCCGAAGTGGAGCCACAGGATGCATTATGTGTAGGTGCAGTGACCATTCACCTGACCATACATTTATTCAGAGGATAAATGTCTTAATTGTGTTCAGAAGTCAAAACATTCATTAAGAACATTTGATTTAATCTCACTCTTTACATTATTGTAGACCTAACATGTCATGTGTTTGAAAAAAAAATGAATAGTAGTTTAAACCTAAAGTAAGCAATAAAAGAGATGAGATTCTCCTCATCCACCGTGTATCTACTTCATCAGTTATAGGCAAACATTGCTACAAGTCAGGAAATCGCTTCATCATGGTATGGTATAAAAGGAGAAGTTTGTTTTTTTTCAAACTGGACCTTATTTCCAGCATATGGTATGTAGATCTGATCACAATACAATACAGCCTCTAAATAACGCATTATCTGCCGCAAGACTCTTTATTTACTATGAATCGCAAGCACTAGTCCCCTGTGAGTCCAAGTTGCTTTGTTTTGTTGCTTTCACTGGGGTGACGTCACCAAGGCGTGTAGCCGCAGCACACCTGACAATCAGCTGTGTTTGTTTACACAGAGTTTGCTGCTGCTAGTTTTGCGCAACATGGCAGAATACTTATCAGTTGCATTACAGTACAGTATTTTTTGTAGGAGTGTATTTATAGTAAGCTGGTCCCGCTTTGACATAAGGTAGGCTGTATTGTGGATGCCCCAATCACTTGCGTTGTATGGATATACACCGATCGCGTGTGGATCTAAAAGCGTCCGAAGGACTCCAAGTTACTCCAAACCTTTATGGGTGAGTAGATCTACATACCATATGCTGGAAATAAGGTCCAGGTTGAAAAAAAACAAACTTCTCCCTTAAATCAAAATGCTTTGATATTTAACTAGACATGGCCTCGACATGAACTCCACCATCAGGACTGTTTTTCAAATAATTATCTACACAATCTATTGGGCTGCTGCCAAAAAAGGTTTATTAAAGGTACAGTGTGTAGAATTTTGTGATATCTAGTGTTAAAATTACATGTTGCATCTGAACACCCCTCACCTCACCCTCTCCTTCCAAACATTAAAAAGGATCTGGGTTAGCCTTTAATTGTCATAAAAACTCAAAAGGTGTCTAGTTTGTCCAGTCTGGATTAATGTAAAAAACATGGCGGCCTCCGAAGAGAGGGTCCCCTCGATGTAAATATGAAGTATTTAAATATAAAGCGTCTTTTTTGAGGTAAAGAAAACTACAATTCATACAATTTAGATGAAATGAACTAGTGAAAACATCATGAGGATTATTCTACATTAAATTTCTGCCAATAGTTCCCTTTCACCTAAATCTTACAGACTGGACCTTGAAACAAGTCTTGATCGTGTCAATTAAATATACCACTTTTCTTCTTCTTCTTAATTTTTTTTATCATTATCAATAATATTATATCTCCCAAATATCATATCAGTATCTGGTTTTACTAAATCACTGTCAACTTGAAGATACAGGAAACCTGATGTAGAAACAGGTAAGTTTATAAATAGACATGTGATGTTTATCCAAATCATTTGATACATACAACGTTTATGAAACCCCCACACAGCAGTATGAACTGAAAACACAAGAGAGCAGTTTCACTACCTGCAATTCAACAAGAAGTGACACCACAGTGATTTCATTCTTAATTGTCAGTGCACTGATTATGTATCGTATCTCCTCTCTCAGATAGATTTTCTGACAGTGATCTGATTGATGTGAGCAAAGATGACACGTACAAACCTGACAAAGGCAAAGGTAAAGTCTGGACTTTAACTACTGTTACAGAAGAGACCACTTAACAGTTGAAACAGATGCGAACATCTACTCTTACTGTTTCCAAAGGTGGAATCTCAGGAGGCGACGGTGATCCGATTAACCAGCATGATGACCACAGTGGTGAGTTTTCTCTGTCTGCTTATTCATGAATGTGTGACTGTCTGAGGTTACTGTACAACTATGTGTGTGTGTTTCCAGAGACCACAGCTGAGGTGGGCACCATTGCAGGGATTGTCAGTGCAGTTGCCATGGCACTGGTGGGTGCAATAAGCAGTTACATCTCCTATCAGAAGAAGAAACTGTGCTTCGGTATACAACGTAAGGCCCCTCATTACAGTGCATAACACTCTCTGAGGACATTGTCTGTGGCTACATTGCTTGAACACCTACAGCTAAAATGGCAATACTAAATCTATACTATATTATATGTTTAACTATTGTTATATTTATGTAGGTTATATTTATATATATTGTTATAGCGTAATGTGGGCCACATGTATGATCTACAGCTGCAGTAGGACCAAAGCATATGGACACAATGACACCAGCTATAATTAAGTTGGTTTTTAGTAGCTACCTTCAGTCAATCAATAACAATTGTTCAGTGTGAATTGCCGATCATAATTATGAACCCACGGAGTATACAAACAAACTTTACTCTTCCCCTCGGCTCCACTAGCACCTTTTAGCCTCCCTAAGCTTATTGTTTAGCTTTTTGCTCTTTAATTACTCCCCACAATAGAAATGCGATAGAAAACTTTGTGAGCTGCTGGTAGAAGTGTCGGGTGAGGAGGAAAAATGAGCAGTTCAGTTTGGAGCTGTGTAAGTCAACCAATTCTGAAGGAATCCCTCCTGGTGACTGCAGTTAACGCTTTAACTAAGTTATAGTTTCTACATTTAATCAATGCTTTGCTAAAAAACAATAAACATACAAACTGTATCTGAGTAGTTAAATTGATCCTTTAATGTGGCCTAAGACACATTTGTGTTCACAATGCTAAAAGAATGTGGCAACATGTGTCCCATACCACCTCTGAATATGGTCTGAGTGATCAGATGTGAAATGTGTCCTCAATGTATGTTGACACCTGGAAATTAGATCTGACCAGCTGTCAGACACAGAGAAAGAAGCGAGTGTCATATGAGTGTGACTCACTCAGATTACATATGCTGCCCTTAGTCACAATGAGAAGGCTCAAGTTCCTTTTTCACAGCTGTTTAATGCACAAACCAACATTAGTTAACACTTGTGAGTAGAAAATATTGTTGAGTCCGTTTATGCTGATTATACAGGAAGTGACATGTAAGAAATTGCATGATGGGAGTAAAATAAAATACCCCAAAACTCTTAGAAAGGACCGATCTCAAAATTATAGTGCCACTCCTATACAGTGCAAATACATAAGTACAAAAATACTAAAAGTAAAAAAGAATATGTTATTTGAAATAGTGGAAATTGACAACATTTACAAATATACATGTAACTCTGTTCAAGAAGCTGTATTGCACAGTGGATGGGTGGGTATTGCACATGAATGAGTAATTACATGCGGTAATTACAATCTGCTGTTTCAGAGATAACACACACTCATCAGCTGTAGTACTGTTTATTAGCAGGTGTATCGCAGTTGCAGTTATAGTAGTAACTTTAGTGCCAGTAATAATAGTGATACCAGCAATAGTAAAGTTTCAGTATGGCAGAGCACACTATATGCTGATATGTGCACCTCTCTTCTAACAGAGAGCCTGAATACTGAGAATGTGAAGGCTGAGAACCCTGAAACTGTGGTGGTTACAGAACCACAAGGTAAACAGACACACACACGCATATTGTATACCCTTTTCTTTTATCTGTTCCTATAATGGCCCTGAATATAAAACCTGTGTAATGGATGATATAGAAAATGTTTCTTTACTGGTGGAGCTGCCATCACTTGATATTTCCAGAGTCAATCGGTTTGGTGACAGTGTTGTGTTACTCTATGGTATGGTGCTCTGTCAAAGACCAAACATTGTTTGTGATTATAAGTCGGAAAGGTGGAATAGAGTAGAATAACAGCTGATACACTGAGCTGTAAATTAACATTGTGTGGAGTCAGTGCTCAGTGCTGCCCTCAGGTCTGATCAAATAAAATGAAATTGACAACACAATGGGCTCACCTGTACACCAACTCTGACCCATGCGTACAAACTTGGAGACGGGATAGAGGCAATGAAGATGTGAGACAGGGAATTGAAGTCAGAATACATATCCACTTTATCATAAACATTAAACCAGCAGTGTTATTTGTGCTCTAAATAACTGTTTCATAAGAACCTCAAATTGTAAAAGATATAAAATGACTTAAAACCAATTACACTTAGACTCCTCTTGATTCTCTTGGATCTTGGATTTTTCTGCTGAACTGAGTCCAGCATTAGACAAACATAGCTGACATAACCACACCGTCCCAGTATAAACACAAGTACTCACCACTCTGAGATAGCCAACAGGTACAGTATGTGTTTTAAATGATTAACACTGTATTATGTTAACCTCTTTGCCTAAACTCCCTTTAGGGAATTATATGATTCTGTTAAATTGTATCAATTGGGAGTATACTGTATATTGCAGCTGTATTTAAATGTTTTACTCACTCACTGCTTTAACTGCAGCAGCAACATGTCACACTCTGGATTTACTAGTGATATCACTACTATGACCAGTTTGTTATTTTTTACCTCCAGCTCACTCACAATCGCCTCAATTTCAATGTCAAAGGAGTTACGCTTCCTCTCATCACTTCATGCTGTCATTCTCTATAAAAACCCATTGGTCAGCTGGGAAATGTCATATTCATGAAGGGCTTTGCATTTTTCTTTTTCTCCAGTTACACTTTAGTCATATTCCTAAAGAATAAAAGCACATCCCCTCTATTAATTATATATAAATTAATTGGATTTTACTGATGCAAACATTTGAAAACCAGTCAACCTTGAATTCATCCCAATTTGTTATCCAGTACACACTTTCTTAATTGTGCACTAATGTGAATCAGTCAAACCCTTTATTGCTCTAGTTGGCTAAATGCAATAATGGATATATGTTGCATCAATGTTTTGCTTGTCCTTTTCTCTTTGTGGTATTTATGATTTATATAGAACATACATTATTTTTCTCCTTGTGCCTGCTGATTTTATTGCTTTGGTTTCATATCTGTATTTCCCAACCTGTCACTTACTGGTTTCCGAACATTTTGCCAAAGGATGCAGAAAAATAACCTGGTTGTTAATTGGTTGCACTTCTCACCAGCAGGTGCAGTCTAGTTTATATTTTGGAATGGCTGATATAGATTTTATTTTGTCTCTGTAGTCCAACAGACTCTCCTGGAGCCATCCAATGCTGAGCCTCCCGCTGAAGAAAATGCTGTCTGAATACATTCACAAGGTCACCCACATACATATCCCCTCACAAAATCCCTCACCTAAATCCTGCACACACTCGCAAACAGGACCTTTCAAAATGTACGTGTATATAGGGATTTATTGCTTACTATTTGATCACATCCAACTAGGTTGCAGCTTTTTTAATTTTTTGCATTTTTCCCTATTGACACATAACTGATTTTTGTGTCCAATATTATATCTTACTTTTGTGGTTGGAATCCACCTGAAGTGGAATAACATGTCACAGAATCCTGTCTGTGCACTGCATAGTTTTAAAGGGATAGTTCACTGAAAATCCGCTCATTATCTACTCACCACTATGCCGGTGGAGGGGTGAGTGATGTGTTTGAGTCCACAAAACACTTTTGGAGTTTCAAGGGTAAACAGTGTTGCAGCCAAATCCGTTACAATTGTAGTAAATGGTGACCACTTCTTCAAATGTAAAAAAAAACATGAAATGCCTCCATAGTGCCTCTGTGGTGTTATCCGAGTGTCCTTCGGCCCCAACATTCAAATTTGGGTAGACATTTATTTTTGGGTGAACTATCCTTTTAAGGAAGCATAGACCCTAGATTTCCGTTCCAAGCCTTGTGGCAAGTAATTATGGAATCACTGGGGAAATGTTGATAAAATGCATAAATGGTCAGTTAGTAGATAATGAATGAACACATTGTCATGGTAATAATCATGTAATAATGATACAAACTTAGCTTATTCCTAGAAAATGTGACATTTCATTTGTTTTATAAGTTTTTCTGTTTAATGTGTTATTATGAAGTCATAATCGGTGATTATAATGCTGTTTGTGAAGAACATGATCAGGGGTTTCTGAAGTTAAACATTTGATAAACCACTGCTTTTTAATGGGCTTCAATATGAGCTACTTGTCCAGTAGTGGGCAAGGTTATTATTCAAAGGCCTGAAGTAACTGCAGGGAACCTCTCTTATGTGAACTGACAGTTTCATCATTAGTTGTTACACGCTGTTCATGTTTCTATATAAAGTACAGAGTTGCATCCTTTGCAGTGGGGAAAATATGGCATCTATATATTTCTTTGTAATCATAACCTGTGACCTTTTATACTGTAAATAGCCTGGCGCTTTTTTCAACTGGCCTTTAACAACAGTTTTTTTTCAAGGTGATAATGGTAAAATAATTCTGATAAGAACTGTGAAGGACTAAGTGGTTGACAAGGAATTGACAAGAGTCAAATCAACACTTAGGAGGATGAAATGAAGATTGCTAAATCAGTTGTGCTCTGGCTTGAGTTGAAAAGTGCACAGCGTGTTTTTTTCTCCCTCGAAATAACAAAGGAGTCTGACCCATCAATGTTTTATCGTGTAAGCGTTGAGATTCAGTATGTACAGAATATAATGTATCTCGATCCCATGGTGGCCATCATTTCCATCAGTGTGAGAAATCCTAACAGAAGAGTGGCAAATGCATGAAACCATTGTGTGTCGAGGCATAAATAGACTAACATTTCAGTAATAAGTACTCTTATTTATTAATTATTATTAAAAAGCCCCCGCATTATTTTATTTTTTTATGCGATTCTGGAAACGTTTATATTAAAATGCAACAATCCTGGTCAAACTTTGCTCCAGCCCATTCATCTGGGTGGATATGACTCTCCCACAATATAGTTTGAAGTCCTTTCATTTCAGTAGTGACATGTGCAAGTGGGTGATTTTTTGCAAAGTAACTTAAATCAATATCCATGTATGCTTCAACCACCTCAAGGGATAATAGGGTCACAAGTGTATGAGGCTGTAACTTTGGGGGTCGAGGGCTGAAAAGTTTGGGAACCTCTGTTCTTGACAAAGTAGTGAAGACAAATGAGGCAGTTTAAAATGGCCTCCATGGGAATAGGATCTACGTGAGTAGAAAGGTGATGGTGAAAGGAAGTCAGAGAAGGACTGACAGGAAATAAAAAGAATGAAGGTTGAGTGATTAATGAAGGCAGACAATATTGTGAATCCATTTGCACTGCCACAAATTAGCATTTAGAAAAAAACAGAGCTGTGCTTTAGTTGCTTAAATGAAGTTAGCATCAGTAGTTTGCATTAGGATCTTGACTAGTGTCATTGAAAAACTGTGATGGTTGTACATTTTTCTGTGAGCAGTTCTGTGTTTGTACTAATAGCAGCATGTAAAAGATAACACATTTGATTATATCCATGTGTGTGTGTGTGTGTGTGTGTGTGTGTGTGTGTGTGTCTTTGTCTGTGTGTGTGTGTGTGTGTCGACATGCTTTGCTGGTTCTTTTTACACTTTGTACCCAAATTACTTTTCCTAATAACTTGGCTTAACTTTTAGTATGCATGTCTTGGTGATTGTGTTTGTTGTGTCCTGCCAACACTTTATTTTCCTATAACTTGGGCCTTTAAAATGGTTTCTGCACTGATATCTACAGTCTTGTGTATTTGATATTTTGTAAATCTCTACAATTGAGTCATTTTGGGTGAGGTCTCTTGAAATGTGAATGGGTCATTGGCAATGAATGAACAGAGCCAATCAACTGCTCTTCCACCACCTCCAAAAATACACTGCCACTCACACAGCAAATTCATGTGTTTCTTTGGAGCAAGTACACACATGCATAATTGACGTGAACTTGGCATAGACAGTGATTGCTAACTAGCTACCATCATGCATAGTGACAAACGTATTGTTTCCTGTGAAACTAAAGCTCAGAATACACTTTCGGTTCAACAAAACTGCCCATGACCATGATGAAGTCTGGAGGCCTGTTCACCGCCCAACATTTGTTTCTGCCCTGGCAGCTGTAATTCAAATGGTGATTTTCTCTGCCTTATAAACTGCTCAGTCCCACAAGGACACACTGTTCCTCTAACAACCCCCAACATGCACATGATCAACACCCACTGCTTTCCATCCTTTGGGTGGTTACCTTGTCCCTTGGGTACCAATGAAAGGTGTGGGTGCTGAGAGCTGAACTCAACACAAAGCAAACAAAAAACCACAAAGCCACTGTTTACTGAATGTATTAAATATCTTCTTGATCTGTAGCAAAAACCGAAACAGATTTGACCAAAGATAATTAAGATTGATTTTGCTGTTGTGTATTGGAGTTAAATTTGAATCTTTGTGAGAACAAGGCCTTGAAATTGTCATGAAGGACAAACATTGAATCTGATCACAAGTCTGAATGTAACGCAGATGTCCTCACACCTCAAGTGCAACATTGACATTGATAGTTAGATGGAAAATGACACAGTAGAAAACATAGAAATCCCCTTCACGTTCATGAAAAGACAGTACACCTGATATCTTACAAATAATGTGTAATTACCTTTAAAATGTTTATGTAGAAAGTGTTTGAATAACTCCCACTGTGGCACTGTGGATGCTTTTAGACACCTGTAGTTCTGCTGTTTGCATGTGGTTTCCAGACTGGTCTGAAAAAAGAATATGAAGACCAGTCCAACCTACTGCTGCTGAAGGCCTGTGGGCCAAGGTCACAAAGGTTAGGTGTGGTCATTATAACAGAAACTGTAAATGTATTTATCAGGCCGGCAGACAATTGGCAGGTAATTGAACTTTCAATGAATCAAAAGTGGATCCACAAATGCAAGCAGTGGCCTGAAGACGGGAGGTGTTTTACAAAGTGTGTTTGAATGAATCCAGAACATCATGGTGACATCAAGACAACACCTTTTAATTGGTGTTCATCAAAGCACTTGTGGCTTCTTAAACCATAAAGAGCTTCAAAGTAGGGCTGCACGATATATCAGAAATGTATTGTCAATGCAATATCAACGTGTGCAATGTATGTATCTCTATCAGACTCAGCTGACGTCTCTGACTTACCAGTTTAATCATTGATTTGTTTGAAATGACGCCATAATATCAACACTGATCATCACATAATGATCAATACTTTTCTGAATGAGTTTAATCCACCTCTGGCTTTTGAGCTTTCCATGGATGTTGTGTTTTTTTCAGTGTCTTCATAGACCCCTTACTGTATTGGGTCTATATTAGTAGTGAATCCAAATCAGAAAGACTTTAACACCGTATACTTGAGCATTTGTTTATTTCTCGAAAGTCATATCGCCATCGCGATATTCAACAAGGTTATCGCATGTTTTCCTAATATCGTGCAGCCCTAGCAGAACCAGTATGTCAGAGAAAGTAGAGTGCAGCCATCTTGAGTTCTATAACATAATGAAGACTTTCATGTGACAAAAAGCAGACTACAGACTGTATATGGAACTGAATGATTTATTATTATCCCACATTTGTGAAAGTTAATTTATTGGATTTATAGGACTTCTTAAATATAACCTTGCCCCCAGGAACTGTCTGTTAAACCAGAAACATGGCAGCAATGAAGGAGCAAAATACCAGCTAACTGCATAATGTAAAATGTATAGGCTTAGTGTTAATATTGTTATTTTATTTATGTGACACAAGTAACCAAGTTAATTATCATCTAATCTGTTTCTATACATGCAGATGTAGGTTTGATCAGTTCATCTTGGATAATAATTTATAGAAGGTATAGATAATGGGCCGATTGATGTGACAAAAAGAGTGTGGATTGTACTCTTCGACTCATGATTGACTGACAGTAGGTATACATTCAAGACAGATTTGAGGGACTTAAAGATTGCTTGTGTCAAATCAGGGTAACTCCCTATATAGAGGGTAGGACCCTGGATTAGATTTAAACGTTTTGTTCTCACTGTTGCAAGCCTTACTCCTAAACTGATCAACTAAAGCAGACTAATTGATAATAAGCCTGGATAGTGGTTGGTTAGTTTGCTTTGTTAAACATTTCCCTGGTTTCATAACTCTGAATGAGATCTGTAGTGTATATTATGACAGTTGTGCCTGAGATCTTTTTTGGGAGCAGTCACATGACAATGACCTGTCAAACATGCTTGCTGCCACCCTGACTGTCTACTGCAGTACACTCAAGTGCCTGCACTGCATTTCCCTCGCTCTAGTGCCTCAACGTGCCATGTAAAGCCACTATTCTGCACCTTAACATTGTCATTAAGTTATGTCTCTTTCCCTGAAAACCAAAAGTGAAAAATGACTTACTTACAAACTTACTTGTTTGGTATTTGAGGGCTGGCTTTTTTTGAGTTACTGGCTTGTCACATACAACACATACTCACTTATCCTGTACACTGCTTTCCTACACATAAACACCATGCATGCTTTTCTCTGCATCCTGTATACACACTTAAAATGTAGCTTACAAGTGTTGAACTTTGTATGTATAGTTAATGTTCATTTCTTAAGTGTAATAGTGAGCTTTCCTTCTTACTCGACAATGATTAAGAATTCTCTGGCAATATGTTACAGGTGTTGTATGTGTTAATACTATGAAATAAACAGTTTCAAAAGACAATAGCAGGGACTGGTATTTTGAATTGTTCTGTTTTTTATGCCTCAACGCTGGCAAAAGCCAGTGGCCGAAGGCATTATGTTCTTGGCTTTGTACATTAGTGATATGCAGTGTATATAAACTACAAGAAAGGCAAGCTCCTCCTTCATTGACAAAAAATGAGTATTTCAAATGTAAAACATAAATCTCTTTACCTTTTGCAGGTATCATTGTTTGTCTTTTCTGGTAGACGTTGTAGTCAAAAGCATCAAGCAGCTGTCCTGCCTCTTAATCCAGGGGACTGAAATTGTAGTGTTTGTTTACGTACATCAGATAATATTGTGGAATGTCTCTCGGTCTGCAGTTGATCTGATTGAGACATTAAAGTTTTACAAATAAGCACAAATATCATTTTCAACTTGCTTTCAAAATGCTGTGACACTCAACCCTCGTAGGCTGGTCATTAGTTAATACATCGTCCACCTGAAAACGTGCACGTACGTGGATCTGCCTCATCTCCCAGCCTCCACATTCAACCACCATGCAAAACACCTCATGAATGCTAATGCATATAAATGAACCTGCTGAGCTATGGATTTTTACAGTGAATCAAGAAATGCAAGAAAACAAGAAATGCAATTTTACTGACAATCAAGTTGAGGTGGAGGTCAGAAAAGTATTTTGATTGGAAGCCACAGCAGTGGTATCATTGCATTACATGTCTTTTAGCTGATGCTTTTATCCAAAACAACTCTCAATTTGTGTATTCAAAATCTATGAGGGAAATCTATGATATATCTGAGTGCAAGCACACAGTTTGAGCAGAAGCAGAGCAAGTTTAAGTGCAAACAGGAGCTATTTTATTGCAAGGGCCGGGCTTTGATGAAAAGTAATACACAATCTGAACATAAATTCAACAAGTCATGCGCTCGAATTGAAAGACCACGCTCTTGATTAAAGACAGGAAAAAACACTCCAGGAAGCCTGCCACCTGCGGCATCAAGGCACCACTTGAGGAGTCCAGTGGCACGCTCCGCAGTGGAGCGCACTTACTGGGGATAGCCACTGTCACCTGCTGTGACAGTGGCTATCCCCTGTCACAGCAGGTGGAGACTCGTTATACATCAGGGTTGAATTGTGAGATTTAATACTAATACTAATTCACCTATTGGCCATGTCCTCTAACTGAGCCAGTGCATCCATCATATATCAATTAAAATCAATTTGATTTGTATAGGGCCAAATCATAATATACATTATCTTAAGGCACTTTACAAAGAAGGTCAAGACCTTAAAATCGTATTAATATAGAGAAACCCAACAGTTCTCACAATGAGCAAGCACTTTGGTGAATGTGGAGGAAAAACTCCCTCATTAACAGGGAGAAACATCTAGCAGAACCAGGCTCAATGTAGGCGGTCATCTGCCTCGACCGGTTGGGGTGAGCAAAGAAAAAGAGGAGAGGAGAGATGGGTGGAAAAGACGGCAGAGAAGAGACAGTGATAGTGGGGAGGAGGGAGAGAGAGAGAGGTGAGAGAGACCGGGAACACTTGAGTGCCATCAGGTATCAGATCTGACTGGTTAAAATGTAAACAGTAACAGTGTAAAGACTATTAATTATTATTGATAGCAGTCACAATTCATATAATAATTAATTACTGAAATATTGTTGTTAATAATAGTAATAATGGTAAAAGTTGTTGTCCTGAGGTTCCGGGGTCAGAGATATCTGAAATGAGAGACAAAAAGAGAGAGAGAGAGAGAGAAAGAGAGAGGGGGACTATGGGAGAAAAAAGTGAAATAGTAATAGACATGTATTAAAATAAATAAATGAGTGTAGGGGGGGGGGGAAGAAAGAAGTGGAGAAGTGCTCAGTGTATGATGGGAGTTCCCCCAGCAGTCTAGACCTATAGCAGCATAACTAAGGGATGCTTCAGGACTCACCTGATCCAGAACTAACTACAGGCTTTACCAAAAAGGAACGTTCCAAGTTTAACTTTAAATGCCGAGTTTAACTTTAAATGCCGTCAGTGTGCTCCGTGCACCTGAGAGCACACTCACGTTCACATTAGCAATTTTATACACAAAACATATTTAACTACAGTCCTACTAAGCCATTAAACTATTAATTAGAAATATTTAGCAACTCTTTAATGTTTTATCTTAGAATGTATGCTTAATTTGGTTGAATTTTGTTTTTACAAGTTAATGATGAAGTGGGTCAATAATCTGGCATCAATTCACCACCTCACTTTTGCGTCGTCATTTTACCGTCTCCAACATGTTGGTATGCATGGGTCACAGTTAGCATTGAAGTGCGCGCATTCTCCCGTGAAGTTTGTTTTAACAGATTCATACGTTTGTGTTTGAAGTGGCGTACGCATCGTCCAGACCCCGTTTTGCGTGTACACATCGGTTATAGATTAGGCCTCTGAATATTTCCCAAAAGTAAATCATCAAAGCTGTTGTTTCTTATTAAAGATTCGATGTTATATAACTCTTTAAGTGGCGAAATCCACCTGTTCATCTCAACCTCTCTGTGTTTCTAAATGCACCAGGCGCTTCCTGTCACCACAAAGCCAAAATGCTCACAGTCACGGCGCATGAAATAGGGCCCTATGTTTTTATTGACTTGCAATTGCAAACATTTCCACCACAGTGATCAACGAGTAATTGATCTCGTTCCCACTTATTAACTTGTTCACATGCGTTATTATTCAGTGATTATTATTTCCCCCCACATGTCACCAAAGTGACTCCGTGCCATTCCCCTCTGTCTTTTCTTAAAAATAGAGAATATGCAAAAAACCTACAGAACGCTAACACAACTTCTCCTTTAAGTACTACTAGAGTTCCCATGTTCACTTTCTGCTTTCAGAATTAAAGCATAACTATTTTAAATGTTTCAACGTATGTCATACTAATGTTTGGCCCTAGCTCCATAGCTGCTGTGCATTAAAATTATTGGTGTTATGAAAATAGATCACACCGTATTGTCACTATAGGAGCTAACCAGGGAGACAGTTTTTAATTCACTTGACGTGTGAAGATATCACTTTGAAGGACGTGAACCGGAAGTTGTTGATATCAGAACAGAGTCGTGTCTTTTAAATTATAACTCGAGCTGGTCGTCTGGACAACTCGAGAAGAAGAAACAACCACTCGTGCATTTGATTTTAAAGGTAAGACTTAACGTCCCAGGTCCGATGGTAACGAAGACATTAGATCTTTCCTGACAGAAGTGAAAGGAGAAGAAACTGTAAGCGCACTTCAGTAACGTCGCCTTTCTCATCTCACTGGGCAGCAGTGTTTGTGTGACTGGTGGTGACAGTGGGACAGGGTATATAATGTGATAGTCCAATATGAATCTCACCATCAGTGGAGCAGAAACGATTGTGTCGTTTGTAACTGACGTGAGCCGATTGACGCAGCAGGCCTCACATTCTACAAGCCATGACCTTTGCTCTAATTTGAGAGCAGTTCAAAGGTTGCGTAAATAACACGTCTACATGTTCAGTTTGGATAGAGAACATTTGAAAGCGTTTCATTTACTGTGCTGTTGAATTATTATTTTTCTGGCAAAGTGACCTTAGAATACCAGAATATGACCTACCTTTGATTCCTATGGTATCGAATTGAGATCGCTAATATTAGTTTTGTGGTTAAATAATGCAGTAGTTCACCTATTGTTTGCATTCAAATAAATACTTGTGGACAGAGGGTGTGTACAATTTTTTTGAGGCAGGAAAAAAAAATGTGTTTGTTTGTTATTCAAATTTGTGCAGGGATATTTTTACAGAGCAAGAGACAGATAAACACATTTCCTACCTGTCTATACGACACTGTCGTTTCAGTGGGCAAGGTGCTGATTGGCTCAGTAGTGTACAAAACCTTTTTTTTAACGCATGTAGAAATGAAATCTCAATACACATACTCTTTTCACCAATGCAAAACATATTTCCACAACTATACTCACAGAAAAGATGAAGTACAACTCCAACATTATTGCACAATTCCAAAAATATTGATGACTAATTTGATCCCATATTTAACTAGTTTTGATGCCATCATACAGTGTTCTGATTGGCAAATGCTTATTAGATATTAAATAGACAGTTAATCAAATAATCACCCAAA